GTTTTGCCAGAAGGGCAAGATTGAAATCTCTAAAGCTTCGGAACCCCAAACCACCTTCTGACTTTGGGGTACACAGAATCTCCTTTTTACACCAGTGTAAACTGTTTTTTTGCATCGATCCTGACCATAGAAAGTTGCTGAGGAGTGAATCCATCTTCTTGGTAAGGGACACCGGTAAGAGGAAGAGGCACATAATGAAAGACGGGATAGCCTGAATCACTGATTTAAGGAGGACCTCCTTCCCTCCATGGGATAGAAGCAGGCTCTTCCAGGCTTCCCCCCTCTTCTCCATCCTTTGGATGAGGAAGTAAAAAGTTTCTTTTTTTGAGTTTCCCCACTCAGTTGGGACTCCTAAATACTTTGAATGACAGTTAGAGGAGGCAAATCCAATGTGGGTAATAATGTCATTCTTCTCTTCTGTGGGGACGTTGGCACTGAAGAAGATGGAGGATTTGTTGATGTTGACCTCTTGTCCAGTGATTGAACCATAGTCTTTAATGATGTCCAAAATTCTTTCCGCCTCTTGAATATTAGCTTTCCCAAATATGACTGTGTCGTCCGCAAAAAGGCAATGAGTGAGAGTAGGGCATCTTGCGTTGAGCTTAATTCCCTTGATGTGGTCTTCTGCCACTGCCTTGTCAACCAGGAATGTGAGAGCATTAGACATCAAGATGAAGAGGAAAGGAGATAGAGGGTCTCCCTGTCTAATTCCTCTAGACGGGCTGAATGTTTCAGACGCTTCTCCATTGAACAACACTGAGAAGCTAACTGTTCGGATACAAGAGCTAACCCATCTGCACCACTTATCATCGAACCCATATCTCATAAGAAGGGTTTCCAAACACTCCCAATCTACCATGTCATAAGCCTTCTTCATATCAAGTTTTAGCATCATATCTCTCCTGTTTCCAAGTTTGTGGTTTTTGAAATGATGTAAGACTTCATGGACTATGATGATATTATCTTGAATGAGGCGACCGCCCGTGAATGCTGTCTGAAGCTCAGAGACCAGAGACGGCGTCCACTTTTTCAACCGGGTAGCCATGATCTTTGAAATGATTTTATACCTGAAATTGCAGCAGCTGATGGGTCGGAATTGACCGATGCTCTCCGGATGGTCAACCTTGGGGACCATCACAATGTGTGTGTCATTCCATCCCACCGGCATAGATGCTGTCTCAAAGAACTCCTTAACTTCTCTGCAAAGAGTCTCTCCAACTGTGTCCCAGTATTTCCTATAGAATTTTCCTGAGAATCCATCCGGCCCAGGGGCCTTACGAGCCCCAAGGGAAAAAACAGCTCTCCTGATCTCTTCATTGTTGACTGGTGCACAAAGGTCCTCATTCATCTCTGTTGTTACCATCGTTGGAAATCCTTGAAGGAGGTGGGTAAAAGCACAAGGAGGTCTGGCTTTGAAAAGATCTTTGAAGAACCCCACTGACACACCTTTCAGTCTTGGCTCATCCTCAATCCAATTCCCAAACTCATCTTTCAAACGTAGTATTCTATTTTTATGTTTTCTGAGGATAGTACTAGAATGGAAAAAGGAAGTATTCTGGTCACCTTTTTGAAGCCAGTTGACTCTAGAGCATTGACTCCAGAATGCTTCCTCTTCTAGCCAAATTCTAGTCAGTTCAGTTGTAAGACTCTTCTCTTCCTCCACATCTTCTTGCATCCTTGGAGGCTGCTGGAGAAACTCAAGCCTGGCCACTATTTCATTCTCCCTATGGACATTATTCTTATGGAAGTCTTTTGACCAGGTCTTCAATTCTCTCTCGCATTTATTTAGTTGACTGCTAGAGAGACCACCTGGATCCCATTCTCTACAGAAAATCTCCTTGCATTCCTCTTTCTCCAGCCATCTCTCGTCCACCCTGAAAGGGGTTCTTCTTCTTCTGCTTCCTTGATGGTGGAGGTCAACTCTAATTGGACAGTGATCAGAATCCACCATCTTCTCATGGAACACAACCGCTTCTCCAAACTGGGCTCTCCATGATGGCGAGCATAAAACCCGATCAAGCCTCACTCTTACCAAGTTGGGTCCAATTCGCTTATTAGACCAGGTGAAGGGGTTGCCTTTGAAACCAAGGTCGATGAGGGCATTGTCAAAAATGAACCTTTTAAAGGGCTCAACATTCTCGTACCTAAGGGGGCATCTCCCTTCCTTTTCATAATCATAAATAGCAGCATTAAAATCTCCTACAATGACCCAGCTATCCTCTCTACTACTCCTAAGGGAGCTTAAGTGCTCCCAGAACTCCCTTCTACTAACAGTTGTAGTTGGGGCATGAACAAAAGTACAGAAAAACTTCTCCCCCATATCTATACTAACATCCATATAGTACTTATCACTACTAATAACGCTAATATTAATACCCGCTTTCCACCATAACGCGAAACCCCTAGATGAGTTGACAGGCTCAACATACTCTCTATTGGGGAAAATTTTGAGACTTCTTCTATGCTCCTCCATGAATTCTTCGTTTTTACACGTTTCCATCAGAAAGACAATAGAAGGGCCTAAACGTCGTATAAAACGTTTAGCATAACTTCTTGTAAGGGATTGGCCAAATCCCCTACAGTTCCAACTTACGATACTCATGGATCTTGAGGTGGCTTATGGCGAACCACCGCTGCCCTTGTTCCACACTCTCCCTCCCCGCCTCCATCTTTCTTTGAGTGAGATTTGTTCTTCTGATGCTTCTTTTTATTTCTTTCAACCCTTCCTCCTGCAAAAACAGAGCTTGTTGGGCTCAAATTAAAATTGGCCCCTTCAATAAAACCAGACCTCTCCCCTTCTGGGCTTTGGACCACCAGCCCCTTCCTCTTCTTTAAGTTTCGGCCTGCCACTCCCTCCAATTCCTCCTGGACGTGGTGATATTGATTTTGGGTCTGCAGCTCGTTTTGGGCCTGTGGCTGGGAGTTGGGGATGCCAAGCCCAAGGAAAAGTTGGGAGCCCATTTGCACCCTCAAAGCCTGTTGCCTCTGCGCCTCATCTTCCTCTTCGATTCGCATTCCCCTTTGTAGAGCTGCCGCCGCCGTTTCCATATCAAGGGACAGATCTCTTGCCCCCATCTCCGTTCTATACCGCCCTTTCCTCCTCCCTTGCTGATCGCGTTCTTCTGCCCTCACTTCCTCCTCTAATCTGCGCACCGTGAACCCTGGAGGAACTAGCAGGTTTTCGCCTTCTTCTTCTCCCCTGGTCAGAGAAGTCTCTATCCCCTCTATTCCTCCCCTGTCATACGAACCTTCACTTGATTGGTAGTGCTCTCTCCAAGAGGATGGGTCGGAGCTAGGATAGCTGGGTTCGACCTCCCCACTGCGGCTTCTGCTACCGCTCGCCCTGTAGGGGGAATCAATCCCTGCTTTTAGCTCGGATGTGTAGATCTTTGACAGGGGAACATGGCCCCTCCTCTTTCTTTCTTCCTTCATCCTTGCACAAGTCGGCCAATTATGTCCGATTCTTCCACAAAAGTAACAGAGTTCAACCAACCTTTCATACTTGAAGGTGATTTCTTCACAGTACTCTTGACCGGTAGCTTCATCAGTCGACGGAAAATCAAATCCCGTTGGGACAGGCTCGCTTAAATCAACCTCCGCCAGCATCCTGCTGAACCTTCTATACCCATTGAAGTGGAGACTAGCTCTGTCCAAATCAATGAATTTGGAGAAGTAGAAGGTTCCGATTGAAATGATATTCTGCTCACACCTCTGGGTTTGGTGAAGGCCATGTATTTGTACCCAGACCGCCAGCTTGTTCATTGGTGCCGCTTCCGGGTCTCCTCTTCCCTCATACTTCGTTAATGCCGTCATCGTGTTGGAGAGGCTCCATGGTCTTTCCTGCCAAATCTTCTCCCGAATCTTGGCATCCTTGAAGGTAAAGATGAAGAGATTTTGAGCTTGGGTGGGCTGAACTCCGACTTCACCGTATTTTCCCCACGCATATCTTGCTGCCCCTGCTGCTTTTGCCAGAGCCACCTTATTCTCCGTTAGCATTTTCCCCAGCAGCATCGAGATACCCCTGCCGGCATTAGTGGTCAGTGTTGGCCGATCTCCTCTTCCCCCTGAGGACGAGGGGTTGCCGCGTTCCGTGCTCAGTCTTCCTGCTCGCGCTGCCAATTCGTTGATATCCATTGGGTGTGTGGTTTCATTGGGTGTGTGGTTTTTAATTTTTAATATTTCGAGTGTGAAATGAATAATGCACGGATCTAAATTAATCGGGTAATTTTAGAGTAATATAAATATTTGTGTGCTTCTCTAATTTTGGGACCAATAAACATTTTATTCATAATGTAGTCCGATTAGACCTAAGTGATGACGCATCGTTCACGATTCAAGTTTTAACTCGCTCTAAAGACATCCTTCCCAACCTTCGTACTAATCTATTTGGGGTAATTGCAATAATTCAGGGGTTCGATTTCTTAGAGAATCTTATAATGTCCAACTAAAACTTGTTAGCGAGTGGTATTTTATCTATTATCGAACTTCTCCAAACAACTCTAATTATTGAAATCAATTGGTTTTTGACATAGTATTAGAGTTTACTGTGACTGGGAGGTCTTGCGATCGGATCCCCACGACCAACATCAGTTAAACACATGATATTCGGACATGTCCAAACTCTATGCCCTTATGAGTGATATTCGTTAGAAGAAGCGTGTTATTATTATGTGGTATAAGATCTATTATTGAACATCTTCCTACAACTCGACTTATTGAGATCAACTGGTTCTTGACCTAGTATCAGAACATTTTGTGGTTGAGACGTCATATTCGAATCCGACGATCCCTATATGTGAAGCACATATAATTCTCGTACCAACTTATCGAGATCAACTCATTCTTCGCATGATATCACACCTTCTATGATTGAAACATCATGCACAAATGAAAGATGTTTGTGGGGTGAGTTAACGATTTTGCAAATGGAAGACTTGTAAGTTGTATCGTAAAAGTCCATTCCGTTGACTGGAGTAAATCCCTTGGTTGGCCTTATACCACTCAGTGTTACCGTTTGGTCGATACTTGATCTTGGCTTTCGTAATACTCAAACCTCTATTATTTCCCTTCAAACTAAATCTAATCCCCAGATTTCTTGACCATCCTCTTCCTTCCGCTGCGGCCAGAGTTGGGGAAAGAGGGGAAAGAAAGACAGTAGGCAAAGGGAGTTTGGGCAGACGCTGAGAAATCCGATATGCATCTATGGCCTTCAATCAAGCTGAGAGACTCGTTCAGCATCGACTATATCCGGCGGCTGGACTGGAACCTCCACCGGATGAAAATCGACAAGAAAAACAAGCAGCGTCTCCTGGACGATGGCGGTGACCAGGAGAATGGCGCCACTGGAGAGGAAGGAGTAGAAGAAGGGTCCAGTTCAAAGAATGGGTTCGCCGAAAGAGCTGCTTTCGTATGCAGAGAGATCTTCCTGGTCCTCTCATGCTGCTACTGCTGCTTCTGTTGTGGAGGTTAGTTTCATTACTGTTTTGGGTTTTCTCGCAAGTTTGAATTCGGTTGGTTCGTGGGTTTCTGGTTACTGCTTGGTGTAGTTGGAAGCTTTGATCAGGCAATAGAACCCTTTTCTGACCTAGTGTTTGGTGTCTAGTTACTTTCTGCCCTTTTGGGGCAACCTTCCAAGTGCTGATGAAGGCATGAGCATTAATTTAGTTCCTCTGTGGAGCTGTGGTTTCATAAGTTAATTGCTGGGCTCGGATTGGATCGAAGTGATTCGTGAGAAATGCTGTGGTCATAGAACTACATAAATTGTTGCTCAGTTATATGGTGATCAATTCCAGGCAGCCAGTGGATTAGTAATGTTCTCTAAAACAGGATCGTTCATGGCATTCGTTTCTCTTAGTATGGAACTTATGCCGACACTATAAGTAGTTTCTTTGCAGCACTTCCCGAGAAGTTCTATATATGTGTAACTGCATTTGGGACGATTGTAAATATATGAAAGACAGTGGTGAATCTATAGGTATTCTGTCCAAGAGCTTGAAAGAGCTCGCCAAACATCTATAGGCAATAAGAAACAAGACACATTCATAATACCATTTATTGCAAGTCTGGAGTCTATAGACTGTAGTTTTGATCTGATACATCTTAGAAGACAAGTTTCCGTTGCTCAGTCTTAAGTGGTACCCAATTCTCGACTACCAAAACTAGGATTCATTGTTTTCTTTTGGGCCATCTTAACTGCTCTTATAATGACAAACAGGACCTGTTTATTCATCTCGGTGAAAGGTTGGCCTTAGTTTGCTATGTTGCAGCTAGCTGCGAACAAGGTGCCCTCTCTGGATAGAGCACTGCAGTGTAGCAATATTGCGAGTTTCTTCTCGTTCCTCATATTATGAACATTTGTAGGAGATGTTTGTGATTGCAATCATCGGTTGAGAACCTGAGTTTGCAGGATTAGTGTTGCCTGATGCAGTTTGTTGTTGTTGTTTACACTTACTGCCCCAGAAATGAATGAGATTTTTCATTTTTCTATTGAAAGTTGGAATGGAATTGCATTTTTCTACTTCTGGGCTGATAAATCCCACCATTTGGCTTTCCAGCTTGTGTGGATTGAGACGTAGTCCTGAAGTTGCACAAGGGATTGAGCCATCCACCTCCTAAGACAAAGTCAGATTCCTAATACTAGTAGTCCATGTCCCGTGAGCACAAATGAAGTTGATTACATGTTTTTTAGGCTTAGTTTCAACGACCGTTCTTTCGTATGCTGGGAACATGAAGGCATAGTTTCCGCCATTGCTGAAATGACCTCAGGGGGTTGATAGGTAGCTTTGCAGACTAGCTACATTGATGTTTGTTAGTTTGAGATAGTGTTATTGTAATAGCATTTTGTATATGCACACAAGTGGTGCATTTGAAAATTATGGGAAATAAATCTTCTGTGGAAAGCACTCTACTGGTGAATGTATGCAGACTCGTTGCAGTTACTTTAGATATTGAATCAGGACATTGTGTCAGTTAGCCTGAAAATGAGATCAGTGCATAACTCCATTTGACTAACTATGTTGTATAACACCTTTAGTGAGATTACAGAGACAAAATGAGTATCAGTTAGCCTGCAAAAATCCATGGTGTAGCTCCAAAAATGGGTGTCCAGTTGCTCCTAAAGAACAAAATGTAGACTGGTTGGAGGTGGTGATTACAGAAACAAACGCTAGCTCTTGGCGCAGAGGTAGGCCGGCAGCAAGTTAAGTGGTAGAATCTCGTTCGGCTTTTGCCTCCTTGGAATGCAAGAAATCTAATATATCTTTCATTCTCTGCTCTATTGATTTACAGGATAACAAAAATGACAGCCAGAGCATTTCTTGTTGTGGCGGGAAGATAGACGACCACTGCAAAGAATTGAAACTCCACCGAGATAAATAGTCCATAGCCCTGCCGACTCCCGACGCTCATCTCACCTCACAGAAGAAGTCTCGACAATGGCGGAGGCAACCGCCGCTGTTCAGCACCCGATTTCCGACTCCAACGAACAGAGTCCCTTCGGGAAATTCACCCCATCGGAATTCTACGCCAAGCACGGCGTCTCCCACCAGGCAGAGCACCGAACCAACTCCCGCGGCTTCAACCTATTCACCCAGTGGTGGTCCCCGCTCGCTCCCGCCGACAAAATCGTCGGCTGCATCGCCATGGTCCACGGCTTCATCGGCGAGTCCAGCTGGCTCCTCGAGCTCACCTCCATCCTCTTCGCCAAGCACGGCTTCCTCGTCTGCGCAATCGACCACCAGGGCCACGGCTACTCCGACTCCCTCGACGGCCTCATCCACCACATGCCGGACATCAACCCCGTCGTCGACGACTGCATCGACTTCTTCACCGACTTCCGCGCGTCCCACGCGCCAGGCCTCCCTGCCTTCCTCTACTCGGAGTCACTGGGCGGTGCCATCGCCCTGTTGGTGACGCTCAAGCAGCAGAAGGGCGCGTGGGACGGGCTGATCCTGAACGACGCCATGTGTGGGCTCACTCCTAAGTTCAATCCCTCCTGGCCTCTGGAGGGCCTGCTCTCCGCCGTCGCGGCCGTGATCCCGACGTGGCGCGTCGTCCCCACGGGAGCGACGTCCCCGGACGTCTCGTACAAGGTGGAGTGGAAGCGGAAGCTGGCGATGGCGAGCCCACGGTGGAGCGGGGCGAGGCCCCGCACGGCGACGGTGCTGGAGCTACTCAGGGTGTGCAGGGAATTGCAGGGGAGGTTCGAGGAAGTGGAGCTGCCGCTGCTGATCTCGCACGGCGGCGATGATTTTGTGTGCGATCCGGCGTGCGTGGAAGAGCTCTACCGCCGCGCCTCCAGCAAGGACAAGACGTTGAAGATATATCCAGGGTTGTGGCACCATATGGTTGGGGAAGAGGAAGAAAGCGTCAATTTGGTGTTCGGAGATATGATCGCCTGGCTCAAAGCCAGAGTGGAATAAGCCAAGTCGACATGATCGACTGGCTCAAAATCAGATTAACACAATGCTTAAACATACCCAATAAGCGAAATAAATTCGCAATTCTAACACATCCGGGATCTGTAAAAAAAATAAGTGAAATGAATAAGTTTGGCGAATGTAACATCTCAAAATGCCTACACTACAAGTTTCGTCATTTTATCCGGATGTCCCCGAAGGGACATAGAAGTTTCATCATCGTATGTGTGATCACCCACATTTTTCGCTTATGAACACAAGAATCTGAATGTTTAAACAGCTCGATTGTGTCGACGGTTCTATGCGAATTTGAGTTATAATAGATTTTATAATCAAAGATTAGACCAAGCAGGGATTTCCTTGAAAACATGAAATTATAGATAGAAAAAATAGACAGAGAGAACGGTTCAATCAATGTTTCGAAGAGAAAATCAGAATGTTTAGGAACTAAAAAACGTATATGTCTCTCGTAGGGGAAGCAAATAAGAGTTTGGCGAGAAAGAAGGCTTATTAGCCACGAAAAGGCACACACTTGGCCCCTATCACTTTCTTGATATGTAATGAGTGCAGGTGCAATGGTATTAGTGTACAGGTGCAATGGTAGATGTATCAGTGCAATGGTAAGGGTGTTATTTAATCAATTTAAGATATATCCAGGGTTGAAGTAATTAATATGTGTTTTTAATTCATACAGATTATTAAATGCAACACAAATTAATTACCTTCAAAACCTATAATTAATAGGGGTGTTATTTTTCCAACCCTTTTATGGATAGGCATGCTATCTCATCCCTAACAAGGAGGATGCGGTCTGTCACCTAGTAGGGTAAGTAGAAGGAAATTAGTGGATAAATATGTGTTGTTAAATAACCAATATATGTGTGGCAGTTGGGATAATTATAATCGAATTTGAAGTGTGTGGTCGGAAGACTATTCAAATGAAACAATAATGATCAACTTGACTACAATAAATATAATAAAATATAATCGTATGTGTGATCACCCACATTTTTCGCTTATGAACACAAGAATCTGAATGTTTAAACAGCTCGATTGTGTCGACGGTTCTATGCGAATTTGAGTTATAATAGACTTTATAATCAAAGATTAGACCAAGCAGGGATTTCCTTGAAAACATGAACTTATGGATAGAAAAAATAGACAGAGAGAACGGTTCAATCAATGTTTCGAAGAGAAAATCAGAATGTTTAGGAACTAAAAAACGTATATGTCTCTCGTAGGGGAAGCAAATAAGAGTTGGGAGAGAAAGAAGGCTTATTAGCCACGAAAAGGCACACACTTGGCCCCTATCACTTTCTTGATATGTAATGAGTGCAGGTGCAATGGTATTAGTGTACAGGTGCAATGGTAGATGTATCAGTGCAATGGTAGGGGTGTTATTTAATCAATTTAAGATATATCCAGGGTTGAAGTAATTAATATGTGTTTTTAATTCATACAGATTATTAAATGCAACACAAATTAATTACCTTCAAAACCTATAATTAATAGGGGTGTTATTTTTCCAACCCTTTTATGGATAGGCATGCTATCTCATCCCTAACAAGGAGGATGCGGTCTGTCACCTAGTAGGGTAAGTAGAGGGAAATTAGTGGATAAATATGTGTTGTTAAATAACCAATATATGTGTGGCAGTTGGGATAATTATAATCGAATTTGAAGTGTGTGGTCGGAAGACTATTCAAATGAAACAATAATGATCAACTTGACTACAATAAATATAATAAAATATAATCGTATGTGTGATCACCCACATTTTTCGCTTATGAACACAAGAATCTGAATGTTTAAACAGCTCGATTGTGTCGACGGTTCTATGCGAATTTGAGTTATAATAGACTTTATAATCAAAGATTAGACCAAGCAGGGATTTCCTTGAAAACATGAACTTATGGATAGAAAAAATAGACAGAGAGAACGGTTCAATCAATGTTTCGAAGAGAAAATCAGAATGTTTAGGAACTAAAAAACGTGTATGTCTCTCGTAGGGGAAGCAAATAAGAGTTTGGCGAGAAAGAAGGCTTATTAGCCACGAAAAGGCACACACTTGGCCCCTATCACTTTCTTGATATGTAATGAGTGCAGGTGCAATGGTATTAGTGTACAGGTGCAATGGTAGATGTATCAGTGCAATGGTAGGGGTGTTATTTAATCAATTTAAGATATATCCAGGGTTGAAGTAATTAATATGTGTTTTTAATTCATACAGATTATTAAATACAACACAAATTAATTACCTTCAAAACCTATAATTAATAGGGGTGTTATTTTTCCAACCCTTTTATGGATAGGCATGCTATCTCATCCCTAACAAGGAGGATGCGGTCTGTCACCTAGTAGGGTAAGTAGAGGGAAATTAGTGGATAAATATGTGTTGTTAAATAACCAATATATGTGTGGCAGTTGGGATAATTATAATCGAATTTGAAGTGTGTGGTCGGAAGACTATTCAAATGAAACAATAATGATCAACTTGACTACAATAAATATGTGTGGCCCCTATCACTGATACATCTACCATTGAAGATATATCCAGGGTTGAAACAATAATGATCAACTTGACTAAAATAAATATAATAAAATTATTTAATCAATTTATCACCATAATTCGAATGAAAATATGGGAATCTAAGAGGTACATTGATGTTGGTGAATACTAGGTCCATCAAGATTGTTTAATGCTTTTTTGTTGTTGTTAAATTTAGTTGTCACATCTATCCCTAAACAATACATGTATTATTCTATAGTTTGGAACTTCTAATAGTTATATTATGGACAATTCATGTATTGAGTGAAATAGTGAGTACAATTGGCTTTGTTATTTGTGTTAGCTTCTATATTTCACCACTATAACAATCCACAACAACCTTTGTGTACTTGATTTTCTAACACACTTTAATATGTCTTTTTCTTGCATAAAAAAGTATGGGCTAAATTACACGTTTGGTCACTCAAATTGTGAAATTCTTTCATGTTTGCCACCCTAATTATTTTTCTTTCTTATTCGCCACTAACTTTACGAATCGTTTCACCGTTAGTCACCGGCCGTTAGTCTCCGTCAAACTCCGTTAACTCCGTCAATTTTTTGATGACGTGGCAAACGAAATCGCTGACTGGACCATTAACTTAATAACTTGTTAATTAAAAAAAAAACCTGGTCCCTCTCTCTGTTTTTCCTCCGCTTTCCCACTCTCCCTTCCGTTCTTTCAGATCCCCATACCAAATCCCATCTCCCAACTCCCCTTCTTCTTCTTCTTCTTCTTCTTCCACCTCGAGACCCACCTCTGTATCCCCCTGTTTAGTGCAACCTCAGCTAGCTTTGAACCAGAATCGACTCCGTCAAGAACACCCAGAAGATTACTGATGCCATGAGGCTCGTCGTCACCGCTAAAGTCGGTTGCGCCTAGGAAGCCTTCTTCAACGACTCCCCTTCTCCCAGATTCTAGTCGAAGTCCTCTACAACATCAATGAGTAGCTCCAGACCGAAGACGTTGATGCCCCGCAGACCAAAGTTTGTCCGGTGAAGAAAGTCGCCCTCGTGGTCGTCACTAGAGACAGAGGGCTCTGCGGCGGGTTCAACAATCAGATTTTAAAAAATAGCGGACAATTGGATGACAAAATTGAAAGCTCTGGGGATTGAGCAATAAGATTATTCATTAGACAAAAACACCGTTCAAATCAATTATCGGAGCAGAACTCTAACTCGCATTTGCTGTTGCCTTCTTTACGGTGTCAAAAAGCCAACATCTCTTAAAGTTAAGTAAAACAGATTATTGATTAATTAACAAAGTATAAGTAATTATAATAATTACCAGAACAACGCCGGGGCAGTCGATGGTTTGGACGCCGATGTTGAGGCCGTCGAAGGCCGCGAAAGAAGACGGAGAACTTGGAGAAGAGTAGTAGCATAAGTAGAAATGGACAAGATATGTGATTGATGGAGTGACGATGGTCGGTTCTTACTTCAGAAGCTGCCATCTCGATCTAGCTGGTTTTGGGGGAAGAGGAGATCTCATATGGGAGGATTTTGCAGGCCAGGGCTAAAGTCAGAGAAGAAGAAGAGAGAGAGGGAGAGAGAGGGGCACAATTTTTTTTTTTTTTTTGACATTGGCTAAAGCCGAAGAAGAGAGAGAATGACACTTTTTATTTTTTTTAAATTAACATGTCATTAGCTTAACGGTCTAGTCAGCAGTTCTGTTTGCCACATCAGCAAAAAATTAAACGGAGTTAACGGAATTTGACGGAGACTAACGGTCGGTGACTAACGGTGAAACGATTCGTAAAGCGAGTGGCGAATAAGAAAGAAAAACAATTCGGGTGACAAACGTGAAATAATTATACAATTTGAGTGACCAAACGTGTAATTTACCCAAAAAGTATGTATTTTCTTCAAATTAGACACACGGTTAAAAATAAAGAAAAGCATATCACGTAACCATAATGTCTGACAAATCAGCCACTTTTGTATTAAATGTTAACCTAACCATCACAATTGCAATAAATAATAAATAGAGTATTTACTTCAAAAAAGAAAGAGATCATATTTCTTTCTCTCTAAACTAATAAACAAATAACTACTCTCTACGGTTGTCAATTGTTCGCCTCGCTCCCACTTCAAATACAAACTTAAACATCAACACACTAACAGGACAAGAGTTTCTAATATGTTCTTGCTCAAGTCTCACACAACACATCTGTCAAAAATCGGGTAAATGCCACATTTGGTCACTGAGATTACTAAATTGTGTCATGGTTAGTCACTAAAAAAATTTAATATCAATTTTGGTCACTCGAATAACTGAAACAAGTCACATTTAGTCACTCTCCCGATAGTTTCCGTCCAACTTCATTAATGAAGTTGGACGGAAACTATCGGGAGCGTGACTAAATGTGACATGTTTCAGTAATTCGAATGACTAAATATGACACGTTTCAGTAATTCGAGTGACCGGAGTTGGACGGAGGCTAATGGGAGAGTGACTAAATGTAATCTGTTTCAGTAATTCGAGTGACCAAAAGCGATATTAAATTTTTCTAGTGACTAAACATGACACGATTTAGTAATTTCAGTGACCAAATATGGCATTTACCCGTCAAAAATCATATCGTGACCACACTTCATCACTCATAAATCGTAACTAGTTGACAATGTCCTACAGGCCCCATAATAAAAGGGTGTTCCACTTTCCATATATCATTTTCCAATTCCGTACTGATCTCCTTGCAAATCCCTACCTTGCTTTCCCCCATTGACGACTGTTTCTACTTTTTTGCCCCTCATTGTTTTGTTTCATCCCTTTGCTAGAAAATGAATCATGATATGTGAAAGAGAAAGGGAATCTCCATATTTATTTCATTGAGGTGCCCAAATATCTTATCATATTTAGCATTCAATTCAATGCAAGGAATCGTCATCGAGTAGATCAAGCTAATTAATTCTCTTCGTTACTTTCTGCTCTATTATTAAAGAGCATTTCTTGTTGCAGCACCAAGATGGATGAAAACGAAATTAAGACCGAAATAAATACGCCCTGGCCCTGCCAACTGCCACCGCTCATCTCACCCACCTGCAAAAAAAGCCCACAAAAAGGCCCATCCATCACTCTCACTCTCACACAGTTCTCGCCCGCCTCATCCCCCTCTCACCCAATTCGCACTCTCTTCTCCTCGTTGTATCCGCTCCGCCTCCACAATGGCGGAGACCACCGCCGCCGCGGTTCAGCACCCGATTTCCGACTCCAACGACCAGAGCCCCTTCGGAAAGCTCACCCCATCCGAATTCTACGCCAAGCACGGGGTCTCCCACCACTCGGAGCACAGGACCAACTCCCGCGGCTTCAAGCTCTTCACCCAGTGGTGGTCGCCGCTCCCTCCCGCCGACAAAATCGGATTCATCGCCGTCGTCCACGGCTTCACCGGCGAGTCCAGCTGGTTCCTCCAGCTCACCTCCATCCTCTTCGCCAAGCACGGCTTCCTCGTCTGCGCCATCGACCACCAGGGCCACGGCTTCTCCGACGCCCTCGACGGCCTCATCCACCACATGCCGGACATCAACCCCGTCGTCGACGACTGCATCGACTTCTTCGCCGACTTCCGCGCGTCCCACGCGCCGGGCCTCCCGGCCTTCCTCTACTCGGAGTCCCTCGGCGGCGCCATCGCCCTGTACATCACGCTCAGGCAGAAGCAGAAGGGCGCGTGGGACGGGCTGATCCTCAACGGCGCCATGTGCGGGATCAGCCCCAAGTTCAAGCCCCCCTGGCCGCTCGAGCACCTCCTCTTCGCCGTCGCCGCCGTGGTTCCCACCTGGCGCGTCGTCCCCACGCGCGGGACGATCCCGGATGTCTCGTTCAAGGTGGAGTGGAAGCGGAAGCTGGCGATGGCGAGCCCGCGGCGGAGCGTGGCGAGGCCACGCGCGGCCACCGCGCTGGAGCTTCTCAGGGTGTGCAAGGACCTGCAGGGGAGGTTCGAGGAAGTGGATCTGCCGCTGCTGATCTCGCACGGCGGCGACGACCTGGTGTGCGACCCGGCGTGCGTGGAAGAGCTCCACCGTCGCGCCTCCAGCAAGGATAAGACGTTGAAGATATACCCGGGGTTGTGGCACCAGATGGTAGGGGAAGAGGAGGAGCAAGTCAATCTAGTGTTCGGAGATATGATCGCCTGGCTGAAAGCCAGAGTGGAACGCAGCAAGGGGAATTGAGTTGTCAGTACTCGCCGGCAGCATCGAGGGAACATCCCGGCGGCGATGGAGGTGAAGGGGATCGGCGATTTAGTCTGTCTGAATGAATAAGCCGTGGGTACATAAATTGTGGTTGGAGATTGCTTGAATCTGCCTGATTTAGTGTCCAGCTTCACTGTTGAATGATGTAGTTGTAAGCACCTATTCGATATCTGTAGTGTATGTGTGTAAACTTGGACGAAATAAACAACGTGCTTAAGCCTATCCAATCGATGTAGTAATCCGATACGTAAAGTAGTCAAATGAATTAGATTGACGAAGGAATTTGGATCCGGTCTTCAGTCCTCACTGATGGAGTCTCAGGATGCCGTTTATGAATGCAAATTGGAAGGTGTACTGAGGGAAGTAATGAATTAAGTCCTCTTCAGGGAAACCTGTAGAGTAGCGATTGGAACGATTCTGTAGAAAGACATGAAGCTGAAGAAGGCCTTGGCAAAGAAGTTTCGCTGAATGTATTTGGTGAGAGTCTGAGAGACATTACTGAAACTGAAAATCATATGGCGAGGAGCTTTGAAATGGGATGAAGATTTTTATTTATCTCAGTGTATAGAGAATGTAGTAAAGGACATTTGTATGGTTTTCCTGATGGAAACCTGCAAAGGGTTGGCCGGACCCGGATGAGATAGATGCTAATAGCTATGATGATTTCCTTGAGGAAGGGATCTTCTGATTGCTTGTTTCAGAGGTCATTAGAGAAGCTAATGAAATCTGCAGACAAAAATGCGAATGTGTTTCTGACCTGTTGATGATCACCATCATACTTTGGAATTCAATGTGATGCAGAAACCAGATTGACCGGATCGAATGCCTTTTGGCCATTCCACGATGAAGTTGCAGAAAGAACCCCTGTGCATTGGAGGCCTGCAACAAGTGGAAGCAAACTAGCTAGTGATGATATCTGTAAAGTTACTCACTCACTGAGATGAAAAGCCATAAAACATTTAGTTGCTCACTCAGTTAAGCAAGACATAAAACATTTAGCCGTTGAGTGAAATAGGTGGTTTAGGAATCCAAGATGGAAGAGATACGATAGAGGCATCAGGCATGTGATGACCATACTGCGACGGATGTGCTGCAACCAGAGGAAAGGGTGGAGGTGAAGTTTCCTCTGTCTGATTCTGCCTGCATTCGAGCAAATCATTGGACTTTCAGAAGTGTTTGCAGTTTACCACCTTCAAATGCACAGTCGAGGCAAGATTAGAACTCAACAATCAACATATAGAGGTACATCTCTTCACTTTCCATTTCAACTCATTGGATTTAAACCACAGCATAGATGATGCTATGAGCTGCAGTTTTGATGGCATGTGTTTCAGGTTCCCTCTAATGCCTGTTACAGGTTGCAAGAGGCAGCACATACCTAAAATGCACTGCCGGAAGTCAGAGGTTAAGGGCATTTCGTAGATACACCACAAGTTGCAAAATCTGCTGTGGTGATAGGTAGATCTGCTGGGAGACCAGGTGGATGTACTCTTGGGACTACTTGAGATGATATACCAGATTCTGTGCTATTATTCACCAATCCTGCAACAGCATTTTGAGGTAAAAGGGAGCTGCTCCTTTGCATTGGAACTGAACTTGATTGTCTTTCTATCCTGGTTTAGTCAGTCATTTGCTTTATTCTTCTTTTCTGCAGGTTGGTTTTTAGTTGGAATCTCTTCCTTGTAATGCAGGTCTCAGACATTCTGATGATGATGATCAAGAGGGAGTTGTGTAACCACTAATAGGTCACTTGCTTATTATAGCAACTGAAAAATGCCATTCGCCGTAGCAAGTCCCAGTATCAGAGAAATGAAGGGTGCATTTGTTAGTTTTAACTTTTAAGGCTTTCATTTTCCTAATTAAGGGGATTTTGACGTTTTTAGCATTTTTTTAGAATTAATTTACTTTCTATGAAATGAAATTACATAATTGGTGTGGTGTATTCGGTGAATTACGACTATATCTCATGACAGAATTTAATCTCTTCGCATAGGGATTTTTTGCACCATAATGGTGCTTTTTTATTTGTTTTTTTTTTTTGCAAAAAAAAAACTTAGTGTTGTGAAGGTAAATCAAGAAATAATGCTCGCCATGAAATAACGTGAATAAGAACATTAGAGATCACCTTGTCGGTCTCCCATTCTAGAAGAGAATGCTTTGAATGCAGTTCTGACCGAGCACCTCATCTCAACCTGTCACGAAAAACAACCTCGATTTTATCTTTTTAATGGTTTATTTAATCAATATCAAAGAATCCTCAAGGATATGCAACGGGCTCCTTCGACTTCTCAAGTGATGGAGCTATTTCATTTGTTTTTGTAAATGGTATTATCAATGCTTACATATGAAAAGTTACTTGCCATTCGTGATCCTATGTGACGGTATCTTGCTCATAATGTATTGATTGTCACATATTGTTGGGATTCTCAACTGGTCATCAAGCTACTACATCGAGGAAGTCTTTCCTTCCCAGAGCCAGAGCCCTTACAGGAAAGTTTATTTCCTTTTCCTATCCTTAGTGATAGTATTCTGTCTTTCGCTCCTCGGAGCTTTTACAGAGTTGCCCATCTAGTGGCAACACTCTTTCATGGAGAGTCCGGTTGAATTGCCATACCTATAACTACCTTTCTTTATTATTCTCTATTTTTGTAAATTTGTTATCCTACCATACCCTTGAGGTTTATCTTGATTAAAAAAACAAACCAAAATATTAAGACTATTTTTAATTATGCAAGGTGAATATTTGATCATTGTAAACTGGGTTATTACTTATTAGTTACTACATGTCATTGATCAAAATGATTCATGTCACTTTAGGTAAGAAATACATACACGATCAATCATAACACTTGGGAGAGCACATACAAACTACAAAGTCCCTTTCCTTGGTTTGACATGTATATATAAAAAAAATGGATTAAAAAATATCACGTGGAATGCGAACAAACCACAATCGTTTTTTTCCTGAAATAGAAAAGGTCTGAGAAAATGTACATTGATGAAGGGAGTAATAATTTCGACTTAATGTCGAAGTCCATATGCTATTGGGCCTGATGGCTCATAAAGGTTTCGGGGCCCATGTAGCGCTGTCCATCTCAAATGAAGGTTACCGATCGATGGTCCTCACAAGTCACAATTATGGGCAGCATGGCTGTGGTCCATGCCAGACCAAATCGAATCAAATTGATATTTGGATTTAATTTAATCAAAACAATTATGGGTTAATTACATGGTTGGTCACTGAGATTATAAAAAACGTTCAAGTTTGGTCACTTGAAATATTTAAGTAAACAGAAAATTTGAATCGAAATTCAATTTGAATGAGGTTGAAATCGACGAAATGAACAAACACACTTCTCAACCTATTTTGATCTTCAATTTTAAACTTCAAAGCTTAATTCTCTATATGAATCACGACTTCTCGAGCTTTTAAGCAGCCTTTCCACTCACTTGTCCTGTAGAGAACCTTATCATAAGTGGAAGAATTGAGGACTGCCCCAAACCACCTCAAAGTCAAGACACTTTCTTCACCTTTGGTTCAACTCTATCTCGATTCGATAGCCTTTATGGATCGAACCAAAACGATGGTCCACTTCTACTCACATTAATATGACGGTAATGGTCATGAATGCATGGTTGGCTAGGCACCACTTGACGAACAACTACGAGTGGTCATGAAGAACCTACCCCACCGCTAAAGAAAGTAACACACCCAACTCAAAAGTATAATTAACTTTCATCTTTTATTGATATAATAATTTAGTTGTATCATTTTAAGAGAATTTGGTAGAATTGACAAGCTTTTCTGTAGAAATTTTGGATTGGAGTATTTCAAATCGATATGTTTTGAATTAAATTCAAGTCTTTGAGGGCAAACCCAAACAAGCTAACATGATTCAATTATTTTGCAGGTTAGGATCACATTCCGATCAATCAAAACCCCTGATTAAAATACTTTCTTGTGCTGATCCAACAATGTTTTCACGATCAGACCCAATCACGAAGAAATACGAAAATCAAACAGAAACATATACAAAACTAGTTCGATTTAATTTTTTTCATTATAAAGTCAACTGAAATTGTATATTTACGTGAGACCCTTTCTAGAGTAGTTTTTTCAACCTTGCATTACTTATCCATGCCAGCTCAATTAATGATCACAAACGAAAATACAACCATGCAATGCAATTAGTAGCCACATCAATGCAATTGGTTTTGCAATTACAAACACCTATCCCATGTCATTTTGCAATTGAGAATGCAATACCAATGTGGATGCTCTAATATTGATAGATCACAACCAGACGATCTATATAATATAAGGTGACGACTAGCTAATGGCCGCTTCTCATATTGTGTTTTAAGAGATATATAAGTCAGTGATCGATGGCCGACCACGATTTCCCAGTGATCGATCTCTCGCCGTTCTTCACTACCCCCGGCGCCGGGGACGATCTCGGTGCTGCAAAGAGGAGGCAGGAGGTGATAAGGCGAATCCGGGGAGCATGCACCAGCGCCGGCATCTTTCTGATCGTCAACCACGTTCGTAATAGGAAAAATCGATTAATTGGTCATTGATACTATTAATGAAAGACATGTTAGTTACAAATATAAGTACTAAATCTTTCTTACATAAGTACTAAATGTTAGTTACGAATATTTTTTAACAAATGGTTCAGAAAATAAATTATGGCGATTGGTGATTGATACTAAATATTTTTGGAGGGCTTGAGTTCATTACCACATGCCAGGTTAACGCAGGTCATTGATACTATATATATGTTGTCCCAACGAGATTGAACCAATTAGCACATTCCAGCTTCATGACCGTCATATTGTTGCAGAGAGATTATGGAGAGGACATTCGGTTACTTTCAGAAGACGGCGGCGTTAATAGAGACCCTTCTAAATGACGCTCTGGGTCTCCCTCCAGATCTTCTTCACCAATATAACAGCAACAGGCAGAGCGATAGGATGATAGCATACCGCTACTTCAAGGCCAATCATGTCGAGACCAAGAAAATAATGATGATCGGATCATACCCACACAAGGACCCAAACCTTTTCACACTGTTGTTGCAGGATGACGTGGGAGGGCTTGAGTTCCTGCGCAACGACCAGTGGATTCCTGTTACTCTCCTGCCCCATTCCCTCGTCGTCAACGTCGGCGACGTCCTCCAGGTATCAGCATTTATGATCTGTGATATAATTACCACTAGGCCAAACCCTTTCGTGTATTTAGCAAGTTCATATATGTATGTGCATGCAAATATCAACATGTTCTTTTTCACGACACGGTCAATTAGGTGCTAAGCAACAATGAATTCAAGAGCGTGACGCACAGAGTGGTATCTCCAAACGAGAAGGATCGTTATTCGTGCGCATTTGGGTGTCAAATAGGCAGAGACAAATGGGTAGAGCCACTTCCAGAGTTGACAAGTCTGATCAAGGCGGCGCCCAAGTTTAAGGGGTTCCGTCACGGTGAATTCCTGCAACTATTGGTGGCAAGTTACAAACCAACTCTAGATCCAAATGACACATTCACTCTTATGGACGTCGTCGCCAACCACTATGCTCTCCCGACATCCAAGGACCTTCCAGACACTACACACCAAATTGAGATCTGACAAGCCTTTATCAATGATATTGGGTTTGGCCTCTTGGGCTTTGTTTTAATAAAATACAAGGATCTTGCACAATATTATTATTATTATTATTATTATTATTATTATTATTATTATTTTCTTTGGTTTTTAGCCTCAAGGGTTTTATATATCCTTAAGCGATGAATATTGTCATCTTTATATTACCACTAGATCAACCACTTAAAATTATCTTGCATCATAATATATTGCAGTTTTAGATTTGTTGTATTTGCATCCTCTATAAATTTTATTTATATTATGATGAAAATTTCTTGTATGATCGGTTCCACCTTCCCTAACAATAATAGGCAAGTGAACTATTTGAAAATGAATGATAGTAAGTATTGAAGAAAATAACAATCGCGGAAAATAAAGGACACGATAATTTTACGTGGTTTCCCCAAAGATCGGGACTAGTCCACAGTGAGCATTGAGCTCGAAAAAATTTCACTAGTTCAGCTGTTCTTCGCTAGCTAGCTGCAGCCGATGTTTTCTTTTTAGGTTAAAGAGAGCTGCGGCTGCTACAATGATATATATACCCTTATACAAGTGTCTCGGGTATAATGGAAAACTACCAAAAGGTACATGGAAAATAAATAAGCTATATACAAGTCCAATACTCTCCCTCAAGCTGAAGCATGAAGATCTTGAATGCCAAGATTGGACAACAAGGTATGAAACTGCTCGGCGCCCAGAGCTTTGGTGACGATATAAGCTAACTGAAGAGAGGTACCAATCTCCTGCGACAGAATGTCTCGCGAGCCATCACGCTCGCGAACAAAATAGCAGTCCATCTCGACGTACTTGGTGAGCTCGTGAAAGCCGGGATTGGCGGGGAAATGAAGAGCTGCCTGGTTGACGCAATACAGACGGGTGGGAGCTGCTGTGGAACCTGTAACTCCTGAAGAAGAAACCGCAGTCATAGAATCTCGCTAGTGGTACTAACCATCGCACGGTACTCGGCCTCGACAAATGAGCGAGCAAAAAAGCGTTGCTTATTGGCACGTCAGGAAACAGGAGCCCCACTGAGTTGGATATAATAGCCGGTAGTAGAGCGCCGACTAAACTGACAGCCAGCCCAATCTGCATCACTGTAAGCTACAAGCTCGAGGGGACCAGCTGACGGCAGGAAAAGACCCTGTCCCGGTGCGGCCTTGAGGTAGCGGAGGGCCACGGCTTCTCCGACGCCCTCGACGGCCTCATCCACCACATGCCGGACATCACCCCGGTGGCTGTTCGGGGATATGATCGCCTGGCTGAAAGCCAGATTGGAACGCAGCAAGGGGAATTGATGAGTTGTCAGTACTCGCCGTCAGCATCGAGGGAACATCCCGGCGGGCGACGGAGGTGGAGAAGATCGGCGATTTAGTCTGTCTGAATGAATAAGCCGTGGGTACATAAATTATGGTTGGAGATTGCTTGAATCTGCCTGATTTAGTGTCCAGCTTCACTGTTGAATGATGCAGTTGTAAGCACCTATTCGATATCTGTAGTGAATGTGTGTAAACTTGGACGAAATAAACAACGTGCTTAAGCCTATCCAATCGATGTAGTAATCCGATACGTAAAGTAGTCAAATGAATTAGATTGACAAATCTAACGGAAACGATCGAATTCGCCATCTCCCCAAGTCTCCTTCAATCAGTCATCTGTCATTCTATCACTCAGACGAAGTGAATGATACTACTGATGCATCAAGGGAAGAGCTGGTTAATGAAATTGAGATGCTGCATAATGGAAAGGAATCATTCAACAAAATATTATGACCATTTTCAATTATGCAAGATGAATATTGGATCATTGTAAATAGGGTTATTACTTATCAGTTACTAAATGTCATTGATCAAAATTATTCATGTCACTTTATGTAAGAAATACATACACAATAATGACACTAGGGAACACATACAGATACAAAGTCCCTTTCCTTGCTTTGACATTTATATCAAAATTGGATTAAAAAATATCACGTTCACGTGGAATGAGAACAAATCGCAATCGTTTTTTCCCCTGAAATAGAAAAGATCTGAGAAAAATGTACATTGATGAATAGAGTATTAATTTTGGCTAAATGTCAAAGTTCATCTGCTATTGGGCCAGATGGCTCATAAGGGTTTAGGGGCCCATCTAGGGCTGTCCATCTCAAATGAAGGCTCACGATCCATGGTCCTCAGTCCTCACAATTATGGGTGGGCAAAAATGTGGTGCACACCGGACCAAATTGCACCAAATTGATATTTAGATTCAATTTACGCGATCAAATACAATTCAAAGAATTATCTATTCTTAATCACTTAAAAAAAATGAAACAAAATTAAATTTGAATGAGAACAAAACGAACCAAATGAACAAACACACTTTTCAACCTATTTTGATCTTCAATTTTCCTTTAATTTTGGTTCAACTCAATTGGATGCCGTTATGGATCGGATCAAACGAAACGAACGTCCACTTCTACCGTTCTACTCCCATTAATACGACAGCACCGCTTAAAGAGACTTGACGAACAACGACGAGTGGCCATGAATTGAAGGGATCCCCCCACCAAAGAAAGTAACTCACCTAACTCAGAAGTATAATTAACTTCATTTTTTATTCATTTAAGTTGTCTCATTTTAGATAATTGGATGGAATTGAAATGTTCTTCCGTAGAAATTTTGGATAGGATCAATTTGGATTGGAGTATTTCAAATCGATTTGTTTTGAGTTAATTTTTTTTTATAGTTAATTTCAATTGTTTGTGAGAACATATAATTCGAATTGATTCATTTGATAAAATAGAACAATGGATCGAATTATCTCGTTTCTGAATTGATTCATCCGAAAGTGTTATTAGATTTCTAACCTATTTAAATGTTCGAGGGCAAACGTAAACAATCTAACATGAATATTAATTATTTTGTAGGTAGGATCGCATTCTGACCAATCTAACTAGCACCCTCGTGTGCTAATCCAATAATGTTTTCACGATTAAATCTCATCATGTAGCAATACAAAGACTAGACAGGTACAAGATATGTCAAGAAGGTGGTAATAAACAAGACTGACTCTAATCACACGCGATTTTTTTCTTTCAACTTTATCATTTATTTGTCCATTGCCAATTGTCAACTCAAATTAATTTTTTTTTATTTATAACTCAGGAACCTCAGCAACCCACATGCCACATGAGTGGGTTCCAATATTGATAGATCACCAGACGATCGAGCACTTCTACTATGCTATATAGTATTGGTGCTTTAATGTACAACTTAAAGTTGTACCATAACATGAAATGTATAAGTTTAGATTGTACCATAAAGCAATTTGTATCATTATGTTATGGTACAACTTTACAACTTGAAGTTATACCATCACATAAAGGTACAAGTTCAAGTTGTACCATAAAAGAATTTGTACAAAAAGTATAGATACAATCTGAAGTTATACCATAACGTAAATGTACAATTTTAGATTGTACCATAAAAACAAAACCCAATAGCACTAATACTATATAGCATCTTAAAAATTTAGGGAACTCCTATGGTAACTTTAAGTAAGGTAACTTGAATTTTTTTACCTGCTATAGCAGGTTCCACAGGTTGCATTACGTAAAATACAATAGGTATTACGTAATAGTTACGTAACGTATGGTAACCTTACGTAACAGTGGTAAAGCACCATTACGTAAGCCTTACGTAATAGACGGTTATTTTACGTAATGAATATTAGCATTGCATTACGTAAAGTGTAAAGTCATTACGGAAGCCTTACGTAACGCTGCTGATTAAACTATTACGTAAGAAATAACTGTCGTTACGGAAGTCTTACGTAATGGAAGGTCCCTTTACGTAATGAGTATTGGCGTCGCGTTACGTAAAGAGCTAAGTCATTACGGAAGCCTTACGTAACGCTTCCATTTTAATTGTTACGTAAGAAATAACTATCATTACGTAACCTTTACGTAATGGATGTGTATTTTACGTAACAGTTGTAAAAGGTCGTTACGTAAGTCTTACGTAATGGAAGGTCCCTTTACGTAATGAGTATTGGTGTCGCGTTACGTAAAGAGCTAAGTCATTACGGAAGCCTTACGTAACGCTTCCATTTTAACTGTTACGTAAGAAATAACTATCATTTCGTAACCTTTACGTAATGGATGTGTATTTTACGTAACAGTTGTAAAAAGTCGTTACGGAAGTCTTACGTAATGGAAGGTCCCTTTACGTAATGAGTACTAACTGCGTGTTACGTAAAAAGCTAAATCATTACAGAAGTCTTACACAACGTTTTCTATCTAACTATTGCGTACAAAAATAACACAAACATTGCTCTATCCTAGTGGACAAAATGTTAATCATTTCGTAGTTAATGTCGCAGGTTCAATTCCCAGTAGTGTTACTTTTTACCTTTTATACATTTTCTTAACTTTAATAAATTAGTTTTATGAAGTTAATTTAACAATTTAGCCTCACTATTTATTATACATTTTAGTTTGAATTATAATTTTGCCAAGCAAATTTAATGAGTTAGCTTAAATTGATGAATTAGTTTCTCATCGCTAATATTTAGCATTTGCAATTGATGGTTGATATTACGAAAAATTGTGGTTATGTTCCTGTTACATACTGTGAATTTAGCTTGAATGGTTGATATTACGATATTCTCTATTTAAATCTAAGGTGCCAGTGATTGTAAACTTAGAATAAGCAAAGTCGGAAACTATTTCTTTCATCTTCAGAAGTCATGTTGAGTTTAATAACGTGATTTCTTATTTTCATTGTCATTAGCAATTACTTGGTTCTATTATAGCGATATGGTGTATTTTTAATTTATCTAGTTGATTGGTACATCCAACGATATGATGTAATTTTACCAACGTTATTTACTATCTTTGTCTCGCTATCTTAGTTGGTTGTATATTTTTCATGAACATGATATATGTGTATAACGTATCTATCATTTGAACCTACTTGGTTTTATCGTCTTTAACTATTAGTGGTTAACAAATGAACGTACAAAAACAAATTGATTGAGCGAAAGACATATTTGAGCTTGATGTGTGGGCTTGACCAGTTCGAGTGTTTTATGTCTAAACGAGCGAGTTGGTCGATTTTGGATTGTGGTAAGTGATTGTCAACTTAGAGTAAGCGAAGTCGGAAACTATTTCTTTCATTGATTAGAAGTCACGGGATCTCACTGACCAGATAACGAGTCAGCATCTTGGGGCGAAGCCCCGGGTTAGGAGCTGGGGGTGCATTGTTCCAACCATGTATGCATGGCCTAATCTATTTTGAGTTACAAGTCAAATCGGTTTATATCTTTGATCTGGTTTGACAAGTGGAATAGTACGACCGGTGGTACAAAAATGTTTTGTCGGTTCATGCCGATTTTTAAAAATGTGAAAATGATTAATATCCGAACTATGTAATCATATACAAAACATATTTGTAGACAATTCACTTACAATCCACCCAATACCATCAACTTTTAACTATTAAATTCAAAAAACGAATAATAAATTAACTTGTTTATTAATTAAATTCATGAAAACGATTTTTTTCTTAGAATTTATAAGTCGATTATTCCGGTCATACTAGTGGTGTCATGTCGATTTCATTAGATGCACAGATTGAACCAGGTTCAATCGGCCGCATCGTTTTGGTGTGAGGGGATTTAGAAAAGTAAAATACAAATTCTTGCTGCCGTTTTGTTGTACCTGTCAACCTTGCCCTGTTTACTTCCCATTTCGTTTTCTGTTATCTATTTAAAAAAAAAAATCAAGAAACAAATGACAAAAAACGTGTTCACTTGTTCATTTCGTTTTCTTTGGAAAAAAACCAATTCCAACAAATGAGAAACCTGTGTGTAAACGATAAAAACATGTTTTCTGGAATTATGGGTACGGGTTATCCCCAGTTTCCTAGCGGTAAAACGTCACAATTCCTTAATGAGATACCGGGTTCGAGTCACCAATGTGATTTTTTTTTTACCTTTTCCACCGTGCTCCAAAACCCATCGTTTTGCCCCATTCACCCACCCTAACCCTAGAAACCTATCGTTGCTCGGCCATCTCCATCTCCTCTTCCCCTTGCAGCCCCGCCACCTCCTCTCCACCCAGACCACTATCGCCGGCCATCTCCATCTCCTCTTCCCCTTGCAGCCCCGCCACCTCCTCTCCACCCAGACCACTATCATCTCCATCTCCTCTTCCCCTTGCAGCCCCGCCACCTCCTCTCCACCCAGACCACTATCGCCGGCCATCTCCATCTCCTCTTCCCCTTGCAGCCCCGCCACCTCCTAACCACCCAGACCACTATCGCCCCATCATCTCCATCTCCCTCGCCAGCGCCGCCGTCATCCTTCTCCCTCGCTAGCCCCGCTGTGGAGATATATCACCTCTCATCCCCGCGACGTCATCATCTTTTCTTCATCGCACATCTTTCTCCTCCTGCTAGCGACCCAGTCCAGGTAGAAGCAGGCAAGCAGCACCGAAGGATCTTTCCTATCCTCGATTCCTCCTCCAACAGAGAAGCACCAGCCGCACATCTTCCTCCTGCTATCGACCCAGCAGGTAATTATTCTTCCTGCCAGCAACTCAATCCATGCTTGCTTGTGATGGTGAATTGGAGCGATTTGTAGGATGATTTAGGATAATTGTGGTCATGTTTTCCTTATGCTGCGAGTTTGAATGAAAATAGACAATTTGGGCAGACCAAGTTTGTGTTAATTTGTGTCATATTTGTGTTAATTTGTGGCATATCTTGTCGTTGCTCTTCTTGATCGGCAGCTGTGGTTATCTGATCAGATGTTTGCTGGTTTCTCCCCTGTCAAATGAAAAGAAGGGCAGTTTTTTGCTGTACATGTTTTCATAATCCCCTTTCAAATGCAAAGAAGCAATTTTTTTGGGGTTGCTGGTTCTATTGTACATGTTTGCTGCAATTTAGTTGGATACAATATATTATTTTTTATGTTATCTGGATTCTTGGTGCAGGTGCTTCTATCCGCAGTGAGTGAATCAATGAGTGAATATGAGAAAGTTGAAAATGATGCTATGCCTTCGCAAGAAAAACACACAGATGAAGATGTCAATATCCCTCAAACTTTTGATCAAGCTATATTAGCTTTAGTGTTCGAGACCTTGGAAGATGCTGAATTCTTTTACAATGCCTATGCAAAAAGAGTTGGGTTTAGTATTCGGAAGCGAGATTGTCGAAAATCACGTGATGGAGAAATGCTAATGCAAAGATGGGTTTGTGCAAAGGAGGGCCATCGGCATCAAGTGTGGTTGAACAAATCTGATCGTAAACGCAAGCCGCGTCGAATAACTAGGGGAGGTTGTGAAGCAGAATTTCGCGTGAATTTGGATCATGATACTGGGAAGTGGGTTGTGAAGAAGCTAATATCAACTCACAACCATAACTTGGTTTCATCCAAGCAGGTCCATCTTTTGCGATCTCACCGTGAAATCAAAGAAAGTGATAAAGCTTTCATCGAGGCATTGCATACTATTGGAGTAAGCCCTCGTTATATAACTGAATTTTGCAAGGAGCAACATGGAGGATATCAGCATATGGGATTCACACCAAAGGATATAGAAAATGAAGTGCAAGCTATTCGAAAGGAAATGGTCCAAGGCGGTGATGCAAACACTACCATAGGATATTTAGAGGGGAGGAGACAAGCAGATCCGGAGTTTTTTTTCAAGTACACGGTGAAAGATGATGATAAACTTGGACACCTGTTCTGGGCAGACTCGGTGTCAAGATCCGATTATGCATTCTTTGGGGAGGTTGTAGCATTTGATGCTTGCTACCGGAGACAAAAGTACAACAACCCTTTAGTCATGCTTATAGGAGTAAATCATCATCACCAGAATTTGCTGTTGGGAGCTGCCTTTTTGAAAGATGAGAAGACTGAAAGTTACATATGGTTACTGCAGACATTTTTAGAGTGCATGGGAGGTAAGAAGCCATCGTCGGTCATTACAGATGGGGATAAAGCGATGCGCCAAGCTGTAAGCCAAGTGTTTCCTAAAGCTGCCCACCGCCTTTGTTCTTGGCATATAGATCGCAATGCAGGTGATATGAAGCTTGGTGTCAAGTTTTTGCAAGGACTGAATTATCTTATGAAAAATAGAATGTCGATCAAGGAATTTGAGGAAAAATGGCAGCGGTTAGTGACGGAAACTAACTTAGACCAACATTCTTGGGTGAAAGGTTTATATGGAGATCGTCATATGTGGTGCGAAGCTTATCTGAAAGGAAATTTTTTTGGAGGCATGACCACTACCTCCCGCTGTGAAGGAATGAATAGCACGAGTAATCGGTACGTTAACCAGAACTTGAAGTTATTTGAATTTGTGAAAAGATATGAGAGGATGGTTGATAAGTTACGCTTCAACGAGTCAAAGGCTGACTTCATAGCATTTCATTCGAGGATGGTGTGCTCTCATGTCCTTCTTAACTATGAGCAGCAAGCCGAAGAGTTGTATACTCCAACCATTTTTGAACTTTTCAGAGAGGAACTTAGGTTTGAAACTAGCTATCTGTTATCTGAACCTATGACACAAGAGGGGGATATTGAGATTTTCAAACTCCACCAGTGGTCAAAGCCTAGTCGGATAAGAACTGTGGAGTACAATACCATAAAAGACACAATTAAATGCTCGTGTTCGTTGTTGGAGTCAATAGGTATTCCATGTCGGCATATTCTGAATGTTATCAAGTTGAGAAAAATGCCTCGAATTCCTCAATCGTGCTTTATCTCGCGGTGGACAAAGAAGGCAAAAGGTTTGGGTTCGAAAGATGCAATCACGAGTTTGATTGACAGTAAGCTTGTTGAAACTATGCGCCATGGGGCTTTAGTTGCTAAGGGTTATAAAATTTTTCAGCTGGGTTCCAAATCAGGAGGGTGTTTCGATAAAGCTTCAGAAGAGCTAACTCGACTATCAACATCGCTTGAGAAACTCAGTGACCAAAACAAGCCTTGCCCTGTGAAAAGAAAATATGGGGATGTGGGAGACCCAGACATAGTGAAAACGAAAGGAACCATGATAATCAATTCCAGTGCTACCTTGGTTATTCCAAAATTTAGTGAGAAACCTGTCAGAAATCTGACCTATTTAATCAGTAACCATGATAATCAATTCAATCCTTTCAAGTACATCCCAACTAATAAAAGTAACCATGATAATCAATTCAATCCTTTCAAGTACATCCCAACTAATAAAAATATTTAGCTGAATTCACTAACTATTGACTATCGTAATCAAAGCCAAAATAAAAAATCAACCTAAATCATTGATTTAAACAACGAACCAGCTGCTTTATTCATAGCTTTGAGATCGCGTAATGCCTTCCTTTGCTCAGCTGCATATTCCGGATCATTGCGGACAATATTCATAGCACCAAAGATATTATCCTCACGCTTCTTATTATTCTTATGCAATAACAACCAGCTCGCTATTTCTTTTCGTGCCTCTAAACCATGTGTCTTGGAAGTCTACATAAAATGACAAAACAAAAGATTAGTTGGACGAGAGTAGTTGCATAATACATATATGCCCAAGCTTATACTTACAACATCTGCAAGATTTGTTGGGCAATATCTCATGTATTGGATTACATGTACTCCACAATCTGTACTGTAAATATAAAAATTTACAAAAAACCCATGTTAGAGTACAAATGAGGAAAATAATTATATTCCAATTTTCAAGCAAAAATCTGTACGTAAAAGTAAGCTCTTACCCATTGGGTTGTCTTTCGACATCTAATGACTTCACTTCAAGTGTTCCGAATGATGGTATAATTGTTTCGCTTTTGGTTCCAAAAGTTTTATGGTGTAACATTGCATCCAACGCTAATAACTATATACAAAATGTAAAAGAAACAATAAATTAGAATAAAAAGGCTATAAATACTCATGCATAATAATTGAACATTCAAAGTTGATATACTTACTATTTTTCTTATATTGTCTTTACGGGGTGTATCATCCTTTAGAGGGAAACTATCAAGCAAGTATACTTCATTTCCCACAACGTTAACAATACACAAGTACCAGTGTTCATACACATGGTCACATATAGGGAGATAAATCTAAAAAAAATTAAAAATGAGTTAATGTCAATTTATGAAATCTCCCCGTAATGGTAAAAAAATGTAGCGCAAACATCTAACCTCCTTGCAAGCATCAATATCTCCCATGTATTTATCTTTGTAGTGCCTGATTAGTTTCTCCACTGTAGGCGGCTTTTCAGTCCACATTAAAACATGATTCTGCATAACAAAATTGTAAGTCTTCAAGATTAGAGAAAAATACAAGATTATAATATAGCAATATGACCATCACATACTCACCGTAAATGACCATGGCATGAACCAATAATCACTTCGTTGGCAGCCACGATATGCTTGTGTCAACCCAACGGCAACAAGATTAATCACCTAGATGATCAATCATTAGAAATGTACCTAAACATTATTTTTTTGAAATTGACAAGAGAAATATAAATACTCACTCCGGACTGCAGATGTTTTCCATCACCTAAACTAGCAAGATCTTCTCTTGTAATATGATAAGTGTCAAACTCGACCAACCAGCTACTGCATAATCTCAGAAATGGGTATATTAAAATTGGACAAAAGGACATTTAATCCGTTATATAATTGAAAATTCAAACTCTACCTTTCAGTATTTCTTAGAGATTTCTCAGCGAATAAAAATGCCCAAAGATTCTCAGTATAATCCGGTAGTATATTCACAATATCTTCATCTATGATCTATTCACAAAAAGTAATTTTATAGTTACTAACAATCAAATGGAGAATACAAACATATGCAAATTTAGATGCATGAGAAAGTCACCATTGTACACTATTAGCCTACATACCTCCTTTTTTCTAGTTTTGTCGCCTTTCTTAGGACCTTTACGTCCTCCTCGAGGTTTTGCTGGTGATGGTTCTGGACAGACAAAAGGGGGCATGAGTAGAGGACCAGTTTTAAGAGTTTCAGGATCTCGAAGTCCCATCTTTTTATTCTCTCTTGGTTGAGCCTTGGGATTCATGAGTGCCTCAAATGAATCTGATTCGACGTCATCCTACAACATTGGAAAAAATCATTACAAGTAGATAAAGTAAATAATTCATAATATGTTAATTAAACACCTTAAAGGTCTTACAACTTGCTCTGCCTTTCTCTTCTTCAGATTTTGAGACTGGCTCTCATTATTAGATTTCACGAATCCTACTTTTCCCTTAAAGACAATAGAAAAGGTAAAACAATTAAATTTACAAAAAAAAAAAAGATTTGCTACAATCTAATAATGATGTCTTCAAATATGAAAGCATCATTACCTTTTTCTTTTTCTTCAATTCTGATAATTTTATAGGTGAACTTGCATCATCGGAAAGCTCCACCATATCCACTTCCGTCTTCAGATTATTCAACTTATCATATAGATTAGTTGAATTCTCATTTGAATTAAAATCATCTTCAGTTCCTTTGCTTACACTGCTCCTGCCCTTTTCAAACGGGACAGCTTCCCCTGCTGGACTCTTCGAAGCCGATTCATTCAATTTATGGCTCTTTACAGGAACGGGTACAGAATCATGGTCTTTGATTTTGTTTCCCACTCCCTGTTGTAGTTGACTTTGAATGGCAGCTAATGTTGTCATTACTTGTGAGATTGAAGATGAGATTTCCACCTTAAAAGCACCTAATTGTGACATAGTGAACTCTGATTCTTTTTTTAACTGACTTTTCAGTTCAATCATCTCTGCTCTAACATCCTGTTTGAAAAATAAACAAAATGACACAAACTGCTAAGATGAAAATTACATAAACAAATAGTCAGATGAAAATCCAACCTCAATTGTATAACAGCTTGAAGGATCTCTTCCAAATCCCACCTACATACATAGATATATCAAATGTAAAAAAATCAATGCATGATACCGAATCTTATTCAACAATAATAAAAGAACATTTTGGTCTAGTATTTACCTGGATGCTATCAACCCCACCTAACCGATAAACATTTTTAACAACCTTCGAAATGGAGTTGTCATCCCAAACTCGTATGCGCGGTAATGAACTTGAGTCACGAGCAAAGTTATGCAATTGCACATGGTCCAAGTAAAAAATCTACATGCAATGTGGCATTAATTCATATTCTATGAATAATATCTATATTATACGACATTAAAGTTTAAACAACAAATTTGTACTTACCTCCAGTAATAACATGCATCCTGTCACAGATTGTTCTCTTGATGAAGAGTCTTCTGGTTTGTTTTGATAGTCTTTTATACCTTCTAAAAGACCATCATAGACGAACTTTGCCCAATTCAAGTTTCCCACAACATTGATGTTCGTTAAAATGTTTAAATAACTATTGGGAACATGAACGGAAGTAGACGGTCTCAAAAGTCTACACATTACATATAAAAGAAATTTCCCTGTGAACTCTTCACCTTCCGTGAGATCTTTCACCAAATCTGTTTTTAAACTGAAGCATTTTATTTGTCCAGTACCCAAATTAAATCTTACCCTCACTCCGCCATCACACTCACCTAACTGGGTTTCCACATCCATACCTTGAGCAGGTAATCCCAGTATGGTGACGACATTATCTACACTTAGAGACAATCGATTACCGTGCACATTCAGTTCACTAGTTGTCACATTGAATCTCATCATAAGGTCCTCCAAAAGATTCAACTTCAATTTATGCTTCTTCAAGTGCAAGAGTGCACCAAATCCAATTTCTTCAATGGCCCTCTTTTTTCCATCACATAAACTGTCGATGAGCTCACAAAATTGATGTACGCCACAACGGCTACTCAAATATACCTATGTGAATAAATGCCAACCAATATTCAAATAAACAAATTTCCTATGAAATTAGAAATCAAGCAAATAAACTAATTTTATACATAATATCAAAACAAAATCACCAAACTCAAAAGCTTAACCGTGAGTACAGTAGTCTTAAAAAGACCACTAGTTATTAATGGATTACCTTTTTCTTTCTTTGTTGGTTTTCATCATTAATTTCGGAAGAGACTCTTTCGTCGATCTTACTCATCTTTGAACTGTACATAACAGAAATTAAATTTAAACTTTAATAAAACAAGTACGATGATGAGTAACAGCTCAGAAAAGGTTGGGTTACGTTTCATATTGAACATAAAGCTTGCAAATCCCCTTCATGCTTACGTATAATACAAATTACATTGTTTTTAAATTACTCACCAACACAATACAAGAAAAAATAGTATCAATATAAACAATTGTTTTTAAACTCTCTACCATGACGATTCATATGTTTGAGAAAACAAAACTGAAGCAAATAGTATCAATATAAATTACACACATATATATTGCTTGCAGTTGAAGTTGGAAAGCGCCTAAAACAAACACATATATTGTCATGTACTTGGATGCTTGGTGCAAAAGCTTTTTAGTTTCATTATTATAGTGACGATCCAAGTAAAAAGTAATATCAGTAGAATTAACAGCAAAGGTTGGTTAATTGCAAACATAATACCTGTCCTAATTGCAAACACGACGGCGGAATCAGAGCAGTGCGACGCGGAAGGGCGAACTCCGCTGTCCGTAGTTGCTGGTCGCTGCTAGATAAAACGAAGGCCGGATCAGAGCAGCGACGCGGCGATGTTGGAGGAGACGCGGCGATTTCGGAGAAGACGCGGCGACTTGTGCTGGTGAAGAGGAAGAGGACTGGCGGTGGTGATGATGTCGAAGCCGCGCCGAATTCGGAGAAGACGCGGCGACTTGTGCTGGTGAAGAGGAAGAGGACTGGCGGTGGTGATGATGTCGACGACGAGGGGATTCTGGGTAAACGGAGCAGGGGTGATCGCAGAGCGAGTTGGTGATGCCGGAGGTCAGCGATGCGGCCGGAGCTGGACTGGAATTTTGTGCGGCCGGAGTCGATGGTGATGTGCGGCTGGGGATGGCGAACTCCGCTGGGTATTACGTAAGCGCACGCCGGGCTGGGGATGGGAACAATAAAGGTTGAGATGATTTAGACTCCAGATTAAGCAATAATTAGGAGTAACAAACCCTAATGAATAAAACTAATGAATACGTGAGATGACCGGCAGCCCCGGTAAACGGATGTTTTTATGTTTTCTAATCCGAGGGTCTAAATTCATTTTAGTATGATCTAACGGTGTAAATCTATATAAGTTACCTAACTTGAAATTATACCCCAGTTACCGTAGGAGATCCCTAAAAATTTATCCAAGACGATCTCTATAATAAGGTCAGCAAGAGCTGAGTAGTTGCTGTTGTGGCCGGCTCCTTAATTCCTTCATTGTCACCACGTACAAAAATTTCGATGGCCGATCACGATTTCCCAGTAATCGATCTCTCCCCGTTTTCCACTACCCCCGGCGCCGGCGATGCAAAGAAGAAGGAGGAGGTGATAAGGCGAATCCGGGGAGCATGCTCCGCCTCCGGCCTCTTTCTGATCGTCAACCACGGCATCCCCATGGCAGCGTTGAGCGACACCTTGGCCGCCGCTTGCGAGTACTTCGATCGCCCTGCCGAGGAGAAGCTCAAGTGGGTCCCACCGCCGGCGGATGCCGCATCGGCCATACCCACCGGCTACGTCAATCGGGCGGCGGTTGAGTTGGCTCGCAATAATAGCGAGATGTTCGTGATAGCCCCAACCGGGTCTGCTTCCAACGTCTACCCAACCGAACCGCCACGGTTCAGGTACCCCTAGTTTCAACCATGGTCCATGAAACCGTACCGGACATCGTACCGGGAAAGTCAGTGGTAGGGTATTTTATGGTAAAACCGTGGTTTAACTGTAGTTCAACCGTTATGCCGGTAAATACCGCCTACCGGTTTAGCCTCCGATACTGGTATTTCGTGGTTGAACCGCCGGTACGGTACGGTTTCATGGACACTGGTTTCAACCCGACTTCATTGGGTTAATTAATTTCAGTTTCATGCGGAACAAGAGTTTGATCTGGTTTGTATTACTACTAGTCCTGAACATGAAAGTTAAATGTTCGAATCTGTTAAATAGAATCTAATCATAAGAAACAAAATACAACGGTTTGGTTCCAAACCGACATGACAAACCGATAAGGTGTTTTGAAACGGATTGCTTTGCTTCTTTAATTGAAGAAACGAACACGGTTTACCTCAATTAGAAAACTAAACATGCTTTCCCCAACAAGATGGAACCAATTAACTCATCACTATATTATGAGCTAGTTTGGCCATGCTCTTGTTGTTGTATGTTTTGCAGAAACAACTTCTGGGGGGAGCTGTTAGAAAAGTAATTTTCAAAAACGGTAAGAAGTGATTTTTAATATAAAAAGTTGTGTAAAATGATTATAAAATATTTATAATATAAAATATGAATAAAAAATTATAAACAATAAAAAGTAGTGAACATGGATATTTTAGATTTCTTTTATACTAAATAACATCACTTTATATCTTATTTTATTCTTAAAATGTTATTAATGAAATAAAACTATAATTTATTAAATAATATTAAAATATGGGAAGGATAATCTTATACTTCGAAAACAACTTTTCGCGGAAACTCCAAATCAGAGCTTATGCTTTTATGTTATACAAAATCAGTTTTCGACTTTCAAAAGTCAGGCTTTTAGAGGTGTTTGGCCATATTTTAGTTTTTAAAGCCAAAAAACACTTCTAAAAGTCGGGCCAAATAATATTGTTGCAGAGAGAAAATGGAGAGGACATTTGGGAACTTCCAGAGGACAGCGAAATTGATAATGACTCTTCTAAACGACGCTCTGGGCCTTCCTCCAGATCTTCTACATCAATATAACGACAACAAGCAGTGCGACAGGATGATCGGGCACCACTACTTCAAGGCCACCGCCGATACCAAGAAAATGATCGGATCATACCCACATAAGGATGCGAACCTTTTCACGCTGTTGTTGCGGGATGACGTAGGAGGGCTTGAGTTCCTGCGCAATGGCCAGTGGATTCCAGTTTCTCCTGTCCCTCATTCCCTCGTCGTCAACGTTGGCGATTTCCTCCAGGTACCGGTTTAATTTGCTTGACTCTGGATCCTTGGAAATGTGTGACAATTTTAGGATATTGATAATGAACCTAGCTAGCTAGCTTTGACATTTATGGTCGCCGGTTTGAGTCTTGACGATCTTTCAATATCTCATGTTGATGTATGAGCTCTTTTGACGAGACGATCGATCAGGTATTAAGCAACAATGAATTCAATAGCGTGGCGCACAGAGTGGTATCTCTGAGCGAGAAGGATCGCTATTCGTGCGCGTTCGGGTGTCAAATTGACAGAGACAAATGGATAGAGCCGTTGGCGGAGTTGACAAGTTGGATCAAGATGGCGCCCAAATTCAAGGGTTTCTATCCCGGTGAATTCCTACATCTAGTAATTGCCAGTTATAAACCATCCCTGGATCCAAATGACACATTCGCCCTTATTGACGTCGTCAACCACTATGCTCTCCCGCCATGGACAACACCAAATTGACGCCAGACAAGCCTTTTTCAACGGTATTAGGTTTGGCCTCTTGGGTTTTGTTGTAATAGAATATCCGTATCGTGGACAATTTTTTTTTTTTGTCTGTTGGTTGTTAGGCTCAGGGTTCGAACCTAAAAGTGGTGTAAGTTGCCATCTTCAGATTACCACTAGACTTATCTCGTAAAATTATCGTGAATCTGTTTTCCGGCGAGAAAACTTGCGTTGAATTGATATTGATGCACCTTTGACTTCTTTGGACAACGATCACTAAACACGGCTCACACCTCTTCAAACAAAGTTCGAACGAGGGTGTTCGATTGATGGTTTTTTGGGAACGAGATCTAAATTAAATTACTTCTACTCCTATGGAGGTTCGGCGAGAGCTCCAAACTACGAACTACATCTATGGCTACATGATAGAGAAAAGGTAAAGGATAAACTTGACATGTGTGTCAGAGTGTTGGTTTTGGAACCTTTGTCTCTGTCGACCCCTCCTCTTATTTATAGCCCCGTGGAGGTAACCGCCATAGAAAACCGCTTGTTGGATAACTGATACAAAGAACCGCTCCCCCTTCTTCGGTAGAAAACCGCCTCTTGGATAACTCCCAAAAAGAACCGCTCCCTGCTTCCTCGGAGTGGTGGTTACTCCTTCAACCGCCTAGGTGCCTCTCTTGGAACCGTCGTGGGTCTTGGAGTGTAGCTTGCCTCGCCTAGTCTTGTTCTGAATCTCGTGTCATGCTAGTCTTTTGATGAGCATGTGGTGTCTCACAAAGGGGGTCGTGGTCTTCTTGCTTCGCGGCCATGGACTTCTTACTCATGTTCATGGCCTTCTTGTCTCGCGGCCATGGACTTCTTACTCATGTCCATGGCCTTCTTGTCTTATGGCCATGGACTTCTTACTCGTGTTCATGGCCTTCTTGTCTCGCGGCCATGGACTTCTTACTCATGTCCATGGCCTTCTTGTCTTACGGCCATGGACTTCTTACTCGCGGCCATGGACTTCTTACTCATGTCCATGGCCTTCTTGTCTTACTGCCATGGACTTCTTAGTCATGTCCATGGCCTTCTTGTCTTACGGCCATGGACTTCTTACTCATGTCCATGGCCTTCTTGTCTCGCGGCCATGGACTTCTTACTCATGTTCATGGCCTTCTTGTCTCGCGGCCATGGACTTCTTACTCATGTCCATGACCTTCTTGTCTCGCGGCCATGGACTTCTTACTCATGTCCATGGCCTTCTCGTCTTACGGCCATGGACTTCTTACTCGTGTTCATGGCCTTCTTGTCTCGCGGCCATGGACTTCTTACTCATGTCCATGGCCTTCTCGTGACACAACATGGCCCTCTCATACTTACTATCTCTTCTTGCGTCCATGCCCCTTCTCGTGAAGTGGCACGTGCTTCTCCTTGAAGTGGCATGTACCTCTTCCAGACTTAGTTTATTTTTTAGTCATTAGGCCTTGGTCATGGGGCGACATGGCCTCTTCGTTGAGGCGGCATGGCCTCTCTTTAGACTTAGTAGCTTGGGCCTAAAATCAATATCCATAAGGCCCAACTGAAACAACATTAATTGTTATAATGGGTGTGGCCTTATAAACTCATTAATTATCTTGTAACTCACCAATGTGGTACAAGACAAATTTTATGGTGTAAACAAATGCCCCCCAACTACTTAGTGCATAAGGCTTATGGACTAAGTAGTTGAACACCACCATGCTAGCGAAAGTAACAAGCTGGCTAGTGTCTACTCAACACACCTAGTTCATCCTTAGCCAAAAACTTGACTTTTACGTCAAGCCAACGTGGTAGGATGGTACTCGACGTCAAAACTTGCCTCATGCCTTAGCCAAATTTTGGCTTTTAATGGTCAAGCCACCTAATGCATTCAACGAGACACCAACTTCACTTTATCACCTACACCCTCATTGACATCTCGTACTTAGCCACATGGTTGAGAGAATAACTTGGAATTTTTCGCACCTATTTTGGCATAGATTGACTCATCTCACCTCGTCACAAGGCTAGACAGCTCCCTCGCGACAAGTCAAGCCGTCTACTTTTTGCCTTAGAAAAAAAAAATAATGTTCATTTTTATGTTGGTAGAGACATTATGGTCACCACTCCTCTACTACCACTTTCAAGCCATCATGCCCCCCCAAGGTCGTGGCTACTCGGGACAAGATAACATGGCATGGCATGGCCTGATGTATGGCTCGTCATGTCAAGCCATCACAATAACGTGGTGGCAAGATCTTCATGTCGAAGTCTAACAACTCCGACTCAAGATTTTCACTTTGATATTTTCCTTCTATCTTTTCTTTTAGCCATGGTTGGCTACAATATTTTTTATAACTAATATATAATAATTATATTATATAAATTTATTTATTTTATATGGCAAGAAGTGACAAATGTCACTGCTCTCCATAGCCTTTGGCAACAATCAATGTACCAAAGGTGTACACCCATTGCCAAGTCCATGGATCAAACCAGACATGCCATCCATAGACCACATGACTCTTTTCCTCCATGGGAGATGAATCTTCATACATTAACTTTGAATTTTCTAGCTTACTAATGGGTGGTACATAGTGAGCCTGTCTAGTTTTGGTGGCCTTGCATGAGGCCTCATGCTTCTTTGCCTGGGCCACCTTACTTGACATGTCAAGGCTATCATGATTATTCTTCTGCCTTGATTTCCTCCCACTTGATAAATGCTTAATCTCCTCACGATGTTGGGGACCAGGTATAGGCTTGACAAGTTGACAACCACTCGTGTAGCTTCCTTGTCTTCGTCTTTCAATATATAAACCTTGTTGGCCCCTATACTTAGCACTCAACCACCATTGACTCTTCGTGCAGCCATGTTTGGCTGGTGTGTATGGTGACTTCTTATACATGCCCCCATGTACACTCTTTGTGGTTAGTGACGAGTACTTACTATTCATTGACATGGACTTGCCCCCCAATCCTCCCTTGTCCATAATTTCATGCTTACAAAATACATGTGAGGGTTTGACTTCTTTTGTCTTCTTGGAGATGTTGTCTACTTCATTCTTCATGGTGGGTGAAATGCTCCCTTGTCCAGACTTAGCAAAATTTGCGAGACTGTGACAACTCTTTCTGCCTTTTCCACGTCTTTCCTTGTTGGACTTGCCCCCATGTCCACTGTTTGTGGTTGGTGGCATGCTTTCTTGTCCAGACTTAGCCATATTATCATATTTATCACAAACATGTGAGGCTTTGGGTTGATGTGGCTTCTTGGAAACCACCTTCCCCCTAGATGGACATCTCGACTTCTCTTCGTCAACCTTAAAACTCTTCTTGCAATGAGCACACAAATTCTCAACTTCATTAGTCATCATTGCGGCCAGGCTGGCCTGCTTGGTACATGACGAGCTTCCTTGGTCGAAAACCACGTTGGGTCTCCTTTGAGGCGGTGTTGTATCCAACACCAGCTTGAAGCGTGGTAACTCGACTTTGGAGAAGTCTGGGTTGACCATGTTGATGCCAAGCACCTTGGGGAACGGATCAGTGTCCACCCACATGGCATCCTTCTTTGCTTCAGGGAACTTGATACGTCCCTTTTCAATGGTATCCTGCAAGACATTTCGGAACACCACACAAGAATCAGTGGCATGTGACATGATATTATGCCACTTGCAATACTTTTTCCCTTTTAATTTCTCGGGTGAGGGAAAGACATGCCCCCCTGTCAACTTGACTTGACCATCCTTATAGAGTTGGTCAAAAATCAAGTCTGCCTTGGAGACGTCAAATGAATACTTCCTCGACTGAATGGGAGCACGATTGGGTCTCCCTCCTTGTGGTCTCTCTTCCACTTTAGACAAAGAAGCACATATGTATGGCTTCCCTGGAGTTATCTCAGCCAAGTCTACCCCAACCTCATTGGCCTCGTGGGCAATATGATTGATGGTATAGTCTAAGTTTGGGAAGTATGATCCCCTTGATGCACTCCTACGATTCTCTTCCTCATGTAGAAGAGACTCATACCTCAGAGCACAAGACATGAGTTGAAATAAATCAGAGAACTCCCTATCTTGGAATTTCTTCCTTAGTTCAAAACTCAAACCCCCTTGCGCCAGCTTGACGAACTCCCTCTCCTTCAAATTAACAAAGCAACGGTTACGGGCATTCTTGAAGTTAGTCAAGAAATGCTCAACCGATTCCCCTGGTTGTTGGCGCATACGTGCCAAGTCAGCCATGGACACCTCGGGCTCAGATCTGTAAAACTGAGCGTGGAAGACTTGTTCCATCTGTTGCCAAGTCTGGATGGAGTTAGACGGCAAGTTGACGTACCAAGCAAAAGCCGGTCCTGTCAACGAGTTTCCAAACAGTCTTAACTTAACAAAATCTCCTACATCGCCACATTGGACAGTGAAACGTCCAACGTGCTCTACAGTGGACTGATCTCCAGTCCCTGTGAATGTGGCAAACTGGGGAACTCTGAATCCCCTTGGAAATGGGTAAAGCCTATCTACCCATTCTGGGTACGGCTTACGGTATACAGGTGGCATAGCA